AAGCTTGCTAGGCAGGTGTTCTGCCACTTGAGCCATCCACCAATCCTGTTATTGATGTTTTTAATCCTAGGTGGAGGTAGGGAGGATCATGGTTCAAGGCCCAACTCAGGCAAAAAGTTAGCACAATCCCACCTCAACCAAGAAACCAGGTGAGGCAGTATGCACCTGTGGTCCCAACTATGTCTTCTGTATAGTTGGGACCTGAGGCCAACCATGAGCAAATATTGGATATCCTACCTGAGATATAACTTAGAATGCAAAAAGGACTGGGGGTTCAGCTCAAGTGGTACAGCACCTGCCCAGCAAGCACAGGGCCCTGTGGTAGAACTCCTGGACCAACAACCCCTCCTACCCCCTTTCTAGGTCCTTTTCTGACACACTTTGGATGAACTCCTAAGTCCTTCATTCAGCAGAGCATCATTTGTGATGATGTCACTCTCACTTTGAGAATGATGTCTCATTTTATCATCAAATAATACTTCAGATTGTGGAGGTATGCTAAACACTATTCAAGAGCATACTGCAAGCCTAGTGCAGGTGGCTTATGCCTGTAACCGTAGCTACTTGGGAGATCATGAGGATCACGGTTCAAAGCCAGCCCTGGGCAGATAGTTCAAGAGACCCTATCTCGAAAATACCCAACACATAAAAAGGGGTGGTACAGTGGCTCATGTGGTAGAGTGCCTGCCTACCAGGCGTGAGGCCCTGAGTTCAAACCCCAGTGCCACCAGAAAAAAATAAAACATCACACCTCAGATATTTGTGTTTCTATAGAATACTATGAATATTACTCTTTACTCTCAATAATTTTATAGATAAGAACTTTTTAAAATTATCTTTGTAAATTCAGAAATGTCTGGCTCAGTGCCTGGGTATTTAATCAGCATAATTGCTGTCCAGTAATGGGGAGGTGCAATGCTGACAGATTACATCCAACATCTCTGCTGTTGTCAAAGTAACCTGTAAAGCCTGCTGTTGCCTTCACCTAGAACTGTATTTTTCACTGAATGGTTCACTGAACCTCACATCAGAACCAGCTGGGGCATTGTTTAAAATGCAACATTCATAGCTCACCCCAGCCACTGACTGAAATTTCTTGGAATGGGGCCATTTTAAAAGCATCTCATGTAAATCGGATGCAAGATGGAATTTGAGGGCCCTTGTCTTAAATACAGTAACTTGCCAAAATTGCAGGTGGGTCCATGTCACTCCTCTACCTAAACAATTTTTTGATGTTCTTGTTGGTAATGGGGTTTGAACTCAGGGCTTCATGCTTGCTAGGCAGGTGCTCTACCACTTGAGCCACTCTACCAGCACTTATGCCTAAACTCTTAATTGGCTCCATGAAGTCTCAGAAGCCAACTACACATGTCTAATCTGTCAAATGCAACTTTCATGATCTCTTTTCTGCTTGGATCTCCAGTTTCTTCTCTCTCCTCTGTCTGTTGTGTGCTGAAAATTCCAGCAACAATGATTGCTCACCTGCTCACCAGCCTGAGGTAGTGCTTCCTGCCTTCTTGTCTGTGTTCACCAGAGCCCCTCTATCTGGAATGTTCTACCTTCCCTTCCTTCATTCCAGGTCTACCCTATCTGCAATGTTCTTTCTCCCTTCCGTTCAGTTACATCCCCTGGGCTAAGTTAGCACCACTGCTCTTTCTCTGTATAGATCGCTATCATTGATAATATCCTGTTGAATTATAAATGTGTTATTTTCTTGTCCATCTTATCTACCGTCTTTGAAAGCCTTGAGGATAAGATAAATGTGTTGATTTGGATGCAGGCAACAGAACTCAACTTTGAATTAATTATGCAAGAAACAAGAAAGCACTGGTAAGGTACTGCATAGCTAGGATAAAAAGGAAGTGTATGAACTATGCCTAGGAAGGGCAGAAACTGGAGCAGCTGTTTGTGTTACTAGAGCTCCTACCCATGAAAGGGGAGGGCCATGAGGGTAAAAAGTGGTCTGTGAGGCTCATGTCTATAATCCTATCTACTTGAGAGACTGAAATCAGGAGGATTGTAGTTTAAGGCCAGCCTGGGCAAATAGTTCCTGAGACTCCATCTCCAAATAACTTGAGAAATTAAATGGACTGGAGGTGTGGAATGGTTGAGTACCTGCTTTGCAAGCACAAAACTCTGAGTTCAAACACCATTCCCACCAAAAAAAAGAAAAAACCCAAACTCAAGAAAACAAAGTAAGGCTTATTAAATGCTTGCAGAATGAATGAAGTCAGACAGAGCTAACACTTAATTAACACTGGCAGTCAGGCCATGTGTCAAGGGTTACACTGTTGCTGCATTTAGCCTTTAACAAAAATTCTGCAGGTCAACAGTTTTCTGCAAACAATTTCAGATGAAGAAACTTGCCAAAGTCATTCAGTTTGCAAGAGAAAATTTCTGTGACTTTGTACTTGTCCATGTTGGTTTCCCCAGTGATAAATATATCATGCCTTTTCTCCATAAGAAGTGTATCCTACTAGGTGCTGCCTGTGGCTCATACCTGTAATCCTAGCTACTCAGGAGGCAGAGATCAGGAGGATCCTTGTTCAAAGCCAGCCCAGGCAAATAGTTCAAAAGACCCTATCTCGAAAAACATCCAACACAAAAACAGTGTTGGTGGAGTGGCTTAAGCTATAAGAGCACCTGCTTAGCAAGTGTGAGGCCTTGAGTTCAAACCCCAGTGCTGCCAAAAAAAAAAATCACCTAGAGGGCTGGAGGTGTGGCTCAACAAAGCTCTGAGTTCAAACCCTAGTCTTACCAGAAAAAAAAAAAGCACTTAGAATAGTACTTACAGTTAACTACTATAAAAATTTTTGCTTGTTTTTAACTACTGCATTATCTTCCATCACATGTATATATTCTGATACATTTAATTATCCCTCTAGGGAAATTTTGCTGATGGACATTTTTTATGTTATAGACAATACTTCAAATAATATTTCTATTTATGCCTTCTAGTGTGCACATTGCCCACACATTGGTTCTTTCTTTCTCATGTTTTTCTTTCTTCCTTCCTTCCTTCCTTCCTCCTTTCCTTTCTTTTTCTTTCTCTCTTTCTTTCTTATAGGGTCTCACTATGTAGCCCAGGTTGGCCTCCCCAGTGCTGGGATTACAAGGGTGTATTACCATGCCTGGCTCCCCTTTATTTTTTAATGGATGCATAGTATTCTGAGGTGCCATAATTTATTTAAGCAGCATTTATTGGTGGATATTTAAGTTATTTCTAATATTTTGCTATTACAAAGGCTACTGCAATAAACATCCATGTCATTTTTGCCTGCATACTTTTTCATTTTATGATATACTACTAAATGGACCTAAAAATGGAGGGCTAGCCATTTTTAACATTGCTTTATCTATTTGTGAAATAAATTTACTATATTTTCAAAAATATTTCCCTATGATGGACATTTAGGTTTCCTTTAAGATTTTGCTAATAATTGCAAGCTCAGAGCCTTGAGTTCAAACCCCAGTCCCACCCCCACCAAAAATAAGATTTTGTTGATAAAAATAAGCTTCAAAGAATAACATGAATGTCTTTCTCATTTCTTCAACAATTCTTGGAATTGTAAATACTTTATTTTCATATCTTCTACAGGGAATAAATCTTTTGAACTTGGCTACATAAAAGGCAGCAGTAACATAGATGGTGACAGATGGAGGTGGCACAGCCAGTTCAGAACCCAGACTAGACTGGAAAAGGTGTGGATAATAAAGAAATGGAGACATAAAGGTAGAAAATCAGATCAAGAGATTTATCCTTGAAGAGAATTTAGGGCACCAGTGGGATCAAGGAGATTTTTTGTTTGTTTTTGGTTTTTAGAGAGTTATCTTTCATCTTTTATGTACCCATCTTCTCCCCTGTGCTCCAAGTCCCTAAGTCTTCTCTGTTCCCTGTTCCTACCTTACTTTTTCCTAAATTTTTGAATGGCCGACCCCTTTTCATTATTCATATCTCTGCTCAAATGTCACTTCAACCAAAAAGTTTTCTCTGACCTTCTTATCCTTTCCCCCATCCTTACTCCATGTTTTTATCTTCATGACTTTTAATCTGAAATGATCTTGTTTATTTATTTATTTGTTGATTATTTATATTTTCTTATTAAAAGGAAAGTTTAGGGAAAACTGGGTGACATTTATAAGATTATTATGTATTATATGTATTGTTATGTATTATTATATGTAATATACATTGTATGCATGCATTGGTTATATGTGTTGTTCCTTACAACTGCATGTGAATCTCTTCTTATCTCAAACTTTTTTTTCATTTTGGCTACACTGGGGTTTGAACTAAGTGCCTCATGCTTGCTAGACAGGCACTCTCTTACTGGTTGAGTCACTCCAACAGCCCTCAAACTTTTAAAAAAGTAAATTCTGTGCTTCTTTGAGAAATGGGAATTTGCTTGTTGAAAACTGCTCACCAAGTCTGGCATGCAGTGAGCAGTAAATTACCTTCGTGAAATGCCTGAATCAATGAGTGTCATACAGTACTCGGTCGTGTTTAAGGAGGACAGGGGGTGGGGGGAGTCCACACATGGAGGAAATCCGAGGAAACCGGAGTCCCTGTCCTAGACTGGGACTCGAATTTGAATCTCTGAAACTTTCCACCACCCCACGCTAACTCTCCATCAATGGAGTTTTGATTAGATAACCTAAGTAGTGACCAGCCGTGTCTTAGGAGACGCTCAATGGATCAGAGGTTATCTTTGTAGCTTGTTATGATTACAACTTGGAGGTCTGATCTGATCATGACCTCACATGGGGGTGTTCTCTATTTCTGTCAAGCATGACCAGGACTGCACTTTCCTGAACTTGAGACAGTGGACAAGGAAGCTGTGTGCGGTGGCCTGGAAGGCTCACTGTGCCCTGCGGTGGAGGTTTCAGGTTTCAATTCTCCCAGGATCTGGAAACGTTGCAGCGTGCACGGTGCAGCTGCCGTCTCCGCCTCTGCAAAGCAACCGAGGCAGCTCGCTAAATTGCCAACCTGGGGCGGCGCACTTGGCCTGCGCTCCACCGGGCTGCGCGCAGCGGCAAGGCTGCTCCGGGCTGCAGGAGCAGAGCGAACTGGGAGGCGGCGATCGCAGCTGGGCCTGGACTTCCTTCCTCCACCAAAGGACAACAAAACAACCGACAGCCGGCACCCAGCCCTTGGCAGCAGCTTGAGCGAGACGTGCAGCCATGGGCTCCCTGCTGAGCAGCGACAGCGGCAAATCGGCGCCCGCCTCAGCCACCCCACGGGCCCTAGAGCGCAGAGGGGGGCCCGAGCTGCCCATCACGTCCTTCGAGTGCTCCGTGTGCCTGGAGGTGTTGCACCAACCTGTCCGGACCCGCTGTGGCCACGTGTGAGTGTCTGGGGAGCTGGGATCGCGCGCCCACCTCCTGGGGAGTGCGATGCTGGGGAGCCGAGGGCGTGGGGTGTGCGCGTGTGGACAAGAAGCCAGCGCCTTAGGAAACTGCCTACGGAGGTAGACCTGGACCGGGGGGCTCGGACCCCGGGGAACGTGCCCAATGAGGAGGTTATACAGTATTTGGCAAGGACAAAACAGAAGTCAGAGGGCCTACAGCCCCGGGGAGCTGCCTCCTCCCGAAGCCCAGGTGCAGCGCTCCAGAGATGGAGATCCAGAAGCGCCTCCCCCCCCTACCCCACAGTCAGGTGCAAGGCTGGGGGCTCCCCAGCAATAATCCCGCTGACTTTGGGTTGATGTGGGGGGGCGTGCTTCTCTTCCCTTCCCCCAGGACCCAGGTCGGTTTTGTTTTGCTGGCGCTGTGCACGTGTTCCACAACTCTTGAGCAAGCAAGGATCCGTCCCTTTACAACACACACACACACACACACACACACACACACACACACACACGAGAGAGAGAGAGAGAGAGAGAGAGAGAGAGAGAGAGAGAGAGAGAGAGAAATGACAATGACTTTCTACAGTCGTTAGAATTTAACCCCTGGTTAGTGTGGGGCTTAGGGCTGAACGTTAGCCCTACTTCGATGAATGTAGTCGTTTAAACCCCAGCTACAAAGTGGCAGGAGGTTGCATTTTACCTGTCTTATCACGGCCTCCCCAAATCGGAAGTATAGATTAAAATAACGTTCTTCAAAATCACGTGCTATTTAATAAACACTCACTGTTAGTACAAAGCCACTGGCAGTTTTTAGAAGGGTTGATAAACAAAGTCCCTATATAAAATAGTCATGTCCTCAATGTGTGTTTGAATAGCTGGTGATAGGAAGTGTGTCTGTGAGTTTGTGTTCACTGTTTACTTAGGAGGCTCCCCCACCCCACGCAGTGGTTACATAGGAGTGGGGAGTGTGTGTGTGTGGTGTGTGTGTGTGTGTGGTGTGTGAGACCACAGTGCATAGATCAGGAGTGATGCCCTCTGGTTGGTGGACTATAGTATGATGAAGCATCAGAGCAGACCCACAATTGCTCTAAGGGACTTTTGGCTTACCAAGAAATAAGTAGCATATCATAAATACAAATGCACAGAATGTTTTTTTAAAAGGACTTAAGTGGTCCTTGATACCTGGAGCCTCCTACCTGAGGAACAGTTTCACCACTGCACATCAGTGGGCCAGGGAGAAAAATGTGCTCCCCACACAAAGTTTAAATGAAATACTCTGGCATTGTTTTATGGCTTTATTTTCAGAGCCTGTTTTTCTCAGCTTTGTACTTTAAACTCAAAGCTTAAATTTATGTCTTTTCTAGTTACTGATGTTGTCCTAATATTGTTCATTGACATGATATCCAAAGGCCAACTTGAGAGTTCAGGTGCTCTTGGGTAACAGTATAAAATGTATTGATTAGTTCAGAGCAATAATAAGCTAACTACATTTATTCGGTGCTGGGGTTTGAAATCAGGGCCTCACACTTGCTACAGGCACTTGAGCCACTCGGCCAGACCTTTTTATGTTGGGTATTTTTTTTCCAATATGGTCTTGCTTTTTGCCCAGGCTGGCCTCAAACCACATTCCTCCAGATCTCTGCCTCCTGAGTAGCTCAGATTTACACACATGAGCCACCGACACTGAGCTACGATAACCACATTTAAGCTTTCTTGTTTTTTGTTTTTGCAGTGCTAGGGATCAAACCCAGGGACTTGTGTGTGCTAGACAAGCACTCTGCCACTGAACTATATCTCAGCCCTTTAAGTTTAATCTTAATTAGCATTAAAGTTGTGCCAAAGATAAATAGTGAGTCTTGAAAATTCCTTCTATGGGACTGGAATGACCAGCATTGCTATTGTAATTGTCTGACTGGAGACTGGTTTCCGGGTTTGGATTTGAAGATTATAATTTACTGTTTACAGTGCTCTTGCCTCTCCTAAAGGATAATAAATTTGTAAAATGTTAAATTTTTTGTTTAATCTTTTTCTTTGTTAAAGTGAATAGGAAATCAACAACTAGAAAAAAATAGTCATAACGTAGCCTAAGAAGGGCTGGACAAATTGCCTTCTCACTTAACAGTCCTTTGTTTTAACAAATCCATGTCCATTGTTCTGGCTGTGGGCAGCATTTCCATATTCCTCCTTTTGGCACACTTACTTGGGCCCCTTCCACTTTACAAATGTTAACCAGAGTCCCTTTTGCACTGGAAACTGTGAGTGTTGTTAACACCATTTGTACATTCTCAATCAATTACTCTTCTCCACTGAGCCGAAGTCAGAAAATGAAGAAATACAATGGAACCTCTCTGTTTTATTATCCCATATTGAAGCTAGGTTTGAACTAGCTTGTTTATGCTGATTTTGGTTTATAGACTTATTTCAGGTCAAACAAACATAATAATGACAACAAGACCCTGGATGAATAAATGACAAGACCCTGGATGAATATATAGTACTTTATAAATTCTGTTGAACTGCATTTGAGAGTCAATTCTGCAACTAGCCAGTTTGTGACCAAATTGCTTACTCTTTAAATCTCAGTTTGTTTGTTTCTTTTTGTGAGACTAGGATTTGAACTCAAGGCTCCAAGCTTGCAAAGTAAGGGCTCTGATCCATTTTTGTCTGGTTATTTTGGAGATGGGGTAAAACTATTTTCCTGGCTAGCCTTGATCCTCTACCCTCCTGAACTGTTTTTTCCTTTGTTCAAATAGGGTAATGAAAAAAAATTTTGGTGATACTGGGGTTTGAACTCAGGGCTTCCTGCTGTAAGGGCTCTACTGCTTGAGCCATGCCTCCAGTGTGGAAATTTTATGAACATTTGGAACATTCAAAATGTAAAAGAAGTCCATAATAAACCTCAAAGCCTGAGAATGTAGCTCAGTGGCAGAGCCTTTTTTTGTTAGCATGCACCAGGCTTTGGCTTTGATCTCTAGCATTGAAAAAAGCAGGGGAAAAGGTCTCAAAATGTGTAATCTATTTCCTTTAGTCATTCCACAGTGGGGGTTGGGAAGAGAGCTAGATACCCAGGAACAGGTATTATTTCTTATGTTTGAATTTCTTTAGAAAGCAAACTGGACCACAAAAGGTTAATGTATATTTCTTTTAGCTTATCTCTTTCCCCTTGTGGTTTCATTTTAATGTTTTGTATTTTTGAGTTGAGTAGTCATATCACTATATCAGTTGCAAAAATAGATTTGAGGAAAAGGGCTTCCTACCTTTGCCTTATCTTCTATTATCAGAACTGGGGAAAGAAGTGTATATAAATTGAAGTTGTATGAATTGAACTAAGAAGGAGTCTGACTTATAGTTAAAAGAAATAGTCAAAAGAATTTGTTGTCAAGTTGGCTATGGTAGATGCAGGGAGAAATGTCAAAGACAACTCTGGGTTTTGACAATGATGAAGGACAGATTGGCTGGGAGGAAGTTGAATTCATGGACTTGTTGAATTACAGACATCTGATAAGGATATATTCAAGTGTAATATCCTAAAGGTGAAGTTTGGGGAAATAGTTGGAGGCGAAAGGAATTACCTAAAAAGGTCTTAAAGTTGAGAATGGGCCTAAGGTAGAAAGAGCCACATCTCCGTTGAGCTAATGAATACAGCTGTTGTAAGTCATAGAATGTGCCTAACGTTCCTGAAATGAAACTCTTTTGAGGGTAATTCTGAAGTGCTTTCAGGTAAATGGATTAAAATGTTCCATTTGTGGTCAAGCAGGAGCAGTAAAGCCTGCCCCAAATTGGTGGTTCTCTAAGTAGAGTCTGACAGGCTTCCTGATGAGTTATAAACGGATCCAGAAATATACTTAGTGCTTTTATATTCTCTCTCTCTCTCTCTGTCTTCTCTCTCTCCCTTTCTCTCTCTGCTGAGAGATTAAACACAGGGCCTTGAGCATGCTAGGCTAACACTGTATCACTGAGCCACACCCCTACCCCTAGTGCCTTCATTCTTACAGGAGATGAGCAATTCCAAAGACTTCTTTTTTCACCTAAGATTAAATCTTCTTATCCTGTTATTAGTTATAGATATTTACCTAGCTCCTTATATATTATCTTCCAGAGAAACAACTCCTGGAGGTATAATTGAGTCTGCCGAAATGAACTGGTAGTAGACAGATTAACAGGAGAAAAGGCACACAAGTTCATTACCTTTCTGTCCAGGAGCACCACAGGAGAGGGACTACCCTGTAACTCAATGAGATTTAGGAATTTATACACTTTCTTCATATAGGAGATAAATGGGACCTGTAAGCACTTTCAGAGGGTCGGGGGAGGGGGAAGACTTTTAGGGAAAATGAATGAGTCCAGAGAACTCAGTAGACTGGGACAAAGTTTGTATCTGGGTATGGTATTAACTCTGTCCTTCTTTCCTGTAAGGTAATCTTCTAGAAGATCTGACTTTAGTTAGATAAGGGACTTCAGAGCAATCCCCTCCTGGTGTTTCAGAAGGAATAGGGTGTGTGTGTGGGGGGGGGTTAGGTTGGGAACCAGACTATAGACTGGTTCTTTAGTGCCTAGTCCTCAGCATGTCAGGGCACTAATTTGTGGGGTATTGCTTTCTGTGCTTCATTACATATACATATAAACATATGCTTATGCACGGTATGTCTATGTAGAGAGAGGGGGAAGGGGAGATTTTAAGGAATTGATTTACAGTATGAACTGGTGATCTCTTAAAAGTCAACTGATAGGTGGTAGCAGGTGGCTCACGCTTGTAACCCTAGCTACTTGGGAGGCTGAGATTGGGAGGACTGTGGTCTGAGACCAGCCCAGGCAAGACCCCATCTTTGCACTTGCAAGGCAGGGACTCTACTGCTTAAGCTACACCTCCAGCCCTGAATGAGTTTTTATAGGTTATTAAAATCTGGTTATATAAAACAATAATTATATTATTATTGGTCTTTATTAGAGATCCTTAGAATTATAGTAAGAGGTCTGGCTGTTAGGCAGCAATGCATGCA